GTTCTGTGATACGGTGACAGTATGAAGAATACTGATGTCTAGTTTGCAGATTGCCAATGAGTTAACTCAACAAAATAAAGTAAAATAGCTAATTTGTTTACTGTATGTGTCCTAAGGCTATTAAACATAATAAAACCAGCTTCACTTACTAGGTTAGCTACATTTTTCAGGACTGATCCCAATTATATACTTTTGCTAAATTCATAACGAAAATATATATTTCTGCCTATTAGCCACCTTGTAAAATTGCTATGTAAGAGTACTAAATACTGGTGCCTTCATCTCAGTGGTATGTTATTTGTACAATGAGCTTAGGAACGTTAACCACATGAGGGTGACTAATTCAAAGATGAACAGAGCCTTTGTGTGTTCAGCACAGCTGACACCGCCTGTATTATTTTAATCAAACTCTGAAGAAAATCAGTTCAGGAGGAAACCTTAGAAAGTTCTTGTCCACAAGTGTCATTTCCCTAGGATATGAGCCTCAGGGTTAACCTGAGCTTAACACAAAAGTTACCATTTTCATACAGTAGCTGAGGTGAAAAATATTGCTTAAGCAGAACAAGTTCACATTATGTCTTCCACAGTTGACCAAGTCTCAAGAAGTGCAGTAAGAGAGACAGAGACATGAATGAGAGGAGACAAAAAGACCAAGAATACAAGGCAACAGGACAACGGTTGTTCTCCAGAAATGGGTGAATGTCCAGAGAAAGGTAGAGTGGGATGGTCACACCTTTGGTTCCTTAAAGATTGGGAAAAGGCAGTAGAGTTGCTAGTCCACATGCGCTAACCTTGACTTCCTTCCAGTGCCAGGCAAGTCCCCAGTAAAAATGGGAACATGTTTATAGACTTTTGAGTAGTCAGAATAATAACAGGAATGGTTAGCTTATCTTTTAATTTTTAAGATTACAAACATTGGGATGATGCTGGTTTGTACTCCTAAATTTACCTCTGAGCTTCTCTGTGGCCTTGATGATAAGTAACAGATCATAGCTGCTGAAAAGAATACAATTAAAGAAGAGAAGTGGTCACACTGCAAACATCTATACAACCTTACACAGGTTGAGTGTGAAAACAGAGTTTGATTTAAAGATGGCACACAGGTGAGCATTCACCTTGCCTTTCCTCAGTGAAACACCCACCCACTTCCACCTGTGAGAAGGCAAAGAGAACTTCAGTGTTCAGGGTGTCCTGCTGGGTTTGCATTATTTCCATGACGTCCTTGTAAATGAGGACTACATTCAATTTTTTTCACTGAGGACTACATTCAATTTTTTTCACTGATTTACAGATTTTCTTTGGCTGTTGATCAACTATGGTATTATACGTCTCTACACCAAATGAAAATATTTTACTTGGTATTTGCAGCCTATCTTACTGGTTTGTTTTCTGCAAGCTCATACAGGTAACCTGCACCTCTCTTTGCATGGCACAGCTCTTTCAGAATGTAGTATTCAAGGTGCTTTTTTGAATCAGGACAGCGACTGTGTTCTTTATCTGCTAGTCTGTTCTAGCTTCATTGTTATTCTAGCAGCAGGCATTAATCTGTGCAGAGGAATACAGATCTGAGGGAACAACAAACAGACCATTTGTAGTAGCTCTAAGGCTTCCATAATGCACACCCACACTTACTCTAACCCAACGGATTTGCAAACATTAAAAGCGTCTTTACTCTGCACAGTGTCAATGAAACTTTTGTCAGTAAAATACATTTTACTGATGATTTTATAACTTATAAATACATTTTGGCAAAGACAAAATATCATTCTGCAATACGAACCTTTCTGCAAACTCCTGAGGGCAACAGCGTTATCTTGCATTTCCTTACGACATCAGATAAATATATTTATTTTATGTTGTCAGCTCATCAGAGAGAGTTCTAATTTCTTTACAACAAGTTATATTTAGGACACACCCCCGTACTGAGATGGCCAAGCTGCAAACAAATTTAGACTCTGACTAAGCATACCTCACCTCAGAGAAGCACTGCATCACCATTAGATGAAGGAGACTATGAGCTGCATTTGTGTAGGCACACACATTTAAAAGTGGTTACAGTGGCTACAGAGAGATGGCATTACGTGTTGATCTTCTGAAGTCCTGCTGTCTTTTGCTTTTCCAAAACTTTCTGAGACCTCTTCAAGGCTTGCAAGATACAATGCTAAGCAATATGAGATACTTCAGCAGTTATACTGAAGCAAGCTAAAATATGGATCAAACAGCAAGAGACCACTGCCATTAAGTTGCTTCATTTTACTTCAACTGGATATCTTGTTTGTAACTATCTCTACAGTAACAGTTGCTACCCTACATGGTGGCTATCTGTACAGCTCCTTTAATGCCATTATTCTCAGAGTAGCATAGACAATATGCAAGACTGGCACTATGCAGAGTAGACTCTTACTTCCAAATGCTCAGGCTTGAGAATCTCTTTGACCCAACTCCATAATTGCCATGGGGAATACCTTCAGGGACAAAAAGGAGAGAGAGGTGAGCCCCATGAAATACAGCCCAGCCTTTAGCTTTCCTTTGGTTTGCAGTCCCCACCTCCTCTTCCTTCCCAGACCATACATGTTATGCTGACATTCTTCTAATCTGAGTGGAATGGTGAAGACACCATCTACTTTCTCATGACAAAAACATTTTTTTAAAATTTCATTCAGCTTATTGACCATGTGCACAGGAAGCAGGCATACCCGTATCTTGAACAGCCACTTTTCCAAGTCGAATATAATGTATGCCTGCATGTCATCCCCTCCAGAAATAATTCAGATAAAGGAATAAATTAATGTATATTCTCTATGTGTAGCTGTAAGAGCTTGGCAGAAAGGCATGCGGAAACTGAGCTCCTCTGGAGACATCACTGGAGACAAAATACTTAAAATGTTGTTCTTCCCTTGATCCATGCTGAAAGCAAACAATGTTTCTTGCACTTACTGCTCCCTTGGCTGAAGACACCTGGAATTTTGAGGCTTCCTGGTACAGAGTCAGTGGCTGATATCGCATCCCAAAATGGACACTAATATTCATGATGCTGAAGGAATATTCTTCCTCTGGCTCACACAAGGTCAGGGTTTGGTGATGTTTTGAAGCATGAAAATTGATATCCCAAATATAGTTTTAGATACACAAGTGTGAGAGCTGTTATTAACCATACAAATGCCTATTTTTTTAAAAACTTTTTACATAGTGGGTGCTGCAGCCTAATTCTGTGATCTGTGGGCAACTGCATCCATTTACCAGTTTGAATTCCCCTGGCTTTTGTGTCTCTTCACCAAGGTATACTGTAAGATTAAAACAGGAGCAACTAAAGCTTTCTCATACATTGCTCATTATTTCACATCCCCCTCCACATGTTCACTTTTCTCTGTAAACTAAGAGAGCTCCTCCTATTTCAAAATATTCCCAAATGAAATAATTTCAATTCTTTTATTGCTCTTTTCTAGACCCTTTTCTGGACCCTTGGAATTTCTATTATATCTGCTTTTCCTCACTTCATGTCAGAAACAGAAATTATGACAGATTAAAATACTGCAATAATTCATGAAACAACATGCCTTTACTAGAACTACCCACTTTAATTTTTCATGCTTTTGCCCAGAAGTGCACACTGAGCAAGCTGCAGCAAGTCTGAATTTCCTTCCTCACTAGCTGTGGTTAACTGGACAATGAAAACTGTGCCAAATAATTTTTCATTACTTCTTAAGGTGGACTAACCATATTTCTTTTACACAGATTTTATACTGTTTCAGGTTATATAATCATCTAGCTTTATTAGATAACAAATAATGAGTTCTGCAAATGGTGCATCTGTGCTCTCCAGACATCCTTTCTAAATAGTTAACTTAAGTTCTAGGCAAATCCTTTTGACATCCTACCATTAATGGTATCTTATTCTGAAAGAAGAGCATTTGGAAGTTCTTCCCCTCTTTGCATCTTTTAACCAGATTACTTGCCATTTGAAAAAGCTGTATAGGCACATCTCAGAAATTGCAAAATATAGTTGACTCTGCAGTAGAAAACAAGTAAAAATACAGTTTTTGCATGTAGGAATCCTCATATCTGGTAATATCTAATCTTGCAGTTATTAGCATCTATATACACTCTTTTGAAGACCTGCTTTCCCCTTCCCAAGGGTCTATAAAGCTTCAGGTCCTCAGAATCTTTCACCTAAGATGTTGTGCTGGTATATGAAAAGCCATGAACCATATTTCTAGACAATATCGCTAGGAAACTAGAAGCGTACCTCGCATTTCTTGATATTTATCTCTATTGCAAACACACATAAAACAGATTTTGAACATAAGTAAGAATTTCTTCAGCCGTTTAACTAGTCTTCTCTCAACAGGGACTTTTCTAGTCTGCCAGCTAAATGAACATAAGAGCACTCACACGTGAATAAAACCCACAAAATAGAGAAAATGACACATTCCTAACACCCTAAAAGTAATGTTATTTGAAACTATGACTGCATACAAGAATGCATCTTCTACCCACTATAGAAAAAAAGGTCAAAAACCATCATATTTGTTTTAATTGTTAATTGATCTGTAATTATCTGAAGATTATTTTTTTTCCACTCAGGAAGACAAAAGGCAAGGAACACATCTTCTTGAAGAGTTTACAGCTGTTATACATGACAAATCTACATGTAGAAAAATAACAGCAAGCATATTTACAAATTACTTTTAAAATATTCTTAACTTTGAGTCCACTATAAATTGCAGCAGGTGTGATACAACAGAGGAGGTCTGAAATGTCGAGTTTGCCACTCAACCACCTTATTTAGTCCAAGAAACTCCAAAGGATTATTCAGAGCATTTAAGCAAAGAGTCTAACTTTCTCTATTGAGGGAAGTTAGGATTTTAACTTTAGGTATCTAGTTTAGTTTCTTGTACTAGAATCTGTGAATAATTGTCTATTATGTACACTAGGTTGTAAAACTCAATTAATTGGAAACAATCTTCAAGAAGATTGGATGAATGATCATGAAATCTCACCTGTATTTTGTGCAGGTAGAGTTTTGATGTGAAGGATCTGGTGGATTAAGTGTGATTCTTGGCGAGACCTGAGCTGATAGCAAAAATCCCGAAGCTAGGATAATGAGTGCTACAGCAGTACCTAAAAATACAGATAAAGAACAATGTGATACTCTGGAGAAGAGTAGAAATAATTCTCTATTGAAGTGAACTATGCTTGGGAAAGCAAGGCACCCCATTACTATGCATACAGCATTTGCTAAGTAGTTGTGATGAGAACCTAGGAAAAATACCCTTTGCTACATCCACATCTTGAATTACGTTAGATGTTGAAGTCAAATGCATCAGGTTTTATGTCCAGATATTAAATTAATAGGTTGAGATTTTTTTTTTAAATATGTGGAATTGAAGACTGCATGAATGAACAGATATATTCTTTTTGGTGTTGAAAATAATGCTATAAAGGTAATTTAATTGTGACTTTGAAATCACCACGCTTTTTCCCACTCCCACACCCAGACTTGCAGGCTTTCCTGTAAAATAGAAAATAGCATCAGCTTTTTCACTGACTCTACATCCCTTTGTGAAATGAGAGAAATTTGACTTTTCATAAAAACACCACCAAAAAGCCCAACTGCAATTCCTGATCTTGTTTCAAAGAGCACATAAAACATCTGCTAGGAAAAAGCTCCCTATTTATTCTTGTCCCCCCGCAACAAATTCCTTGTGCACAAGCTGGGCAAAATGATGAGAGGGAAGATGGAAAAAAAGGTTCATACTTTGTGCAACAGGCCATTACTAGAAAATAACCCATAGTTTTCCTACCTTATTTGTCACACACACACAATATGCTGTATCATTTTAATGAAAATTTATATACTTCACTACTCATGATACCACTGCAACTATCCCAAACTCATAAACCTTATCCCAAACTTATAAAACCTTTACATGTTGCTACTCGACGAGGCATCAAGTTCTAGGTTGTATAAAATACCCTGTATACCTATTTGTATACTCACTATTTATGTGGCATGTTTTGACAAGTCACATATAACACATATAGCCTGATTTAAAAATACAAAACTAGTAATAACGTTGTTAGTTATTAATGATCTAATAACATTATCCTTACCATACAAAACCAGACTCACAAACCGCTGAACCACATCCCAGTCAGAAGGCAGCACACATTTAGAAGTGTGCAGCGATCTAGCTTAATGGTTGAGGGCAAATGAAGGATACCGTGTTCAATCATCCCTTTGCTCTGTATGTTAGAAGCATGTAAGTAATTTTCTCAGAAATGCATCTGTGCAAACCTTTAGAAATGCCGCTACATTAAAAACCTTAACATCTTGCTCTGGTAATCTTTAAGAAATTAGGCATTATCTGGGTTTTATTTTGGGGTTTGGTGGGGTTTTTTTGGTGGGCAGAGGGGACATTTTGGCAGTTTCGGGGGTGGGGTTGACTGTGTTTTTAAAGAGAAAAGCAAGAGTTTCCTAGCAGGCAAACCCATCAAGTATGTGAAAACCTTCCGAGATATAAATAATATCTTAGGTACCAAGAGCTGTGTAATAAAATTATTCATGAATGTGTCTGTGCAGCAGCCATGGCTAATACGCACAAATATGCATGAACTGGAGATGATTGGATCATACATTCACCTGAACCAAGGCAACTATATGTAGAGAAAGTAGAGCCACAAACTATATGTAGAGAAAGCACCTACACACCATAAAATGTGATTTCAGTTTATTCTATACTTGGCTTTGTACTGCTATGGCTAGTGGGTATGCTAATAATCCCAGTTTTCTGGGCAGACTGGATATTGCACTGGATTTACTGTACTTTCAAAATGCTATAAACCAGACAGCAAATATCTTTAGACAGGGCCTATAATCTTATTTATATTCATTCTAAATATGCTTTGTCTGTCTTTTAAGTTAACCAAATACACTAACACTCACTTCCAGTACCTCTGCAAATGTCTTATTTCTTTGGAAAAGTACTGAATATGTAAACTTGGCAAATGAAGTTTATTATATATTTTCATTCTGTGGGAAGTTTGTCTATGATGAACAAAACCATACAATTACAGTAAATCATTAGCTGAGATATATTAAAAAAAAACAAAAAAGGATATATCCTGGAAATATTTTAGATCCTCTCTGTTACAAAAAGAGATACAAGTTGTCCAATACTACTGTGCTTTCAAACTGACAATTTCTGAAGGTGAAAGAGGAAAACACAAATGAAATGGATACTGCACTTGTCAAAATTCCTGCATGTTTCCCAATTAACAGCTTTGAAGAAAGAAATTAACTGAAAAAAAAGAGCAAAAGGAAGATTAAAAAAATGATGCCAAGATATAAAATGAATGGGAAACTAAGAAGAATCAGTAACTATAGTAAGAGAACTAAAAAGGTGTGATTTATTCTTTTTTTTTTTTTTGATAGACACAGCTTATTATAATTTTCCTAATGCTTCTGGATCTATCTGAAAGGCTCCATTTTTCAAAAGTTGCTAATATTTTGAAACTGATAAAGATACATTAAATTAAATGTGAAATAGCCCTTTCCCAAATGTTTTCAGAAAGCAGGAAAAGCTGCATGAGTTTACAAAATTAAAATACAGTATGTTGGCTTTTAATCAAAATATTAATGTTTCTATCTCTCTACTGATTATTCTTGTAGGTTATCATCTAACAGACATCAAATCAATCAACTCTTACAAAAAACGCCCCTTGCAGCAGCAGGCAAAGGTAGTAGTTTTGTCCTCGTTCTATGTAATGAGAGACTGAGGCATACCTGGCTTCTCCAAAGACCAGAGAAGCAGCCAGTAATAAATCAGTGTGAAAGTCAATGTCCTTAGAAACACAAACCAAAGTAGAGCAGTAAAATATAAGTTTACCCCATGAGAAAACTCATCATGGAAAACAAATCCATCAGCAGATTTAGTAATTATAATTTTATTAAACAGCCCTCTTGCTAAGGAAAACACATCATACCCACCACTACCTCAATCAAAGTGTCGAACATTGCATAAAAAAATTCTAAATAGTACAGAGAGATGACATATGATTTCATTACTGTCATTATTTGTACCTTCCTTAAGGAGGGACTGTGTGATAAAGAACACAGCAAGCAATGCAGCATGGATCAAGTGATGCTCCAGACTGGCAGCTGACCACAGGAGGACCAAGAATATTTTTACCAAAGAATTACTTTGTGTCCAAACATCATAAACAAATAACTCTGAACTGTATTATTCTCCTTCATTAATTCTGTGTCTTATTTCTATATTATTCTCTGTTCTGTAACTAATATGCTTTGTAAGAGACATTTGTATCTACATTTCAAATGTATGACCTTTGAATATGTTAACCAGAGCCAAAAAGCAAAGAGTTCTGTGACTGTATGAAAAGTCCACATGGGAATCACACCTATACAGCTGGGTCCAGATAAGCAATAAACTCCTGAGGGGCTGGCCAGATGTATAAGGTGTCGGGGCCAAATATATAAACATGTAAATCCTCCATTTCAATAGAGTACAAAGGAGAGGCAGCACCCAAGAACCAGAAGTAGCAGTGCAGTGCGAGGAGAGATCCACTTTGCAGAAAGACAAGAAAACAGGCAAGTACCGCAGAGGAAAAAGGGTTATTGAGCATAGGGAATGATACAGAACTGGGTCCTTCCCCTCTGAAAAACTTGGCCTGGCTGGAGACATAGAAGAACTTACAGAGGAGATGTATTTTAACTGATCTGGAGGTAGACTGTGATAAAAGTAGCGATCTGAGATTTTTGTTCTTTTTTTTTTTAAGATGTGAGGAACGTGCTTTTCCAATCTCCTCTGTCATGACTTGACATGTGAAAACCACTTCAGGTTTCTCAACTCCAAATCAAAATGGTAACACTCCAAATACACAATTATTATAACTTGGAAATACCAAATCGCCTCCAAAGTGCATGTTTTAATTTACAAATTTGGGTAACTGTATCAAACCAGATGCGACACTGCCATCGCTGTTCTGCCTATATAAATGCATTCAAATACTGCAAGTGTAGATTAACTCCCACCCCTTGGGAACTGCAGAGGGCCAGCAACTTGGCAGGTGGTCCCCCACTCTGCTGTGTTGCATTAACTAGAAGTTTGGATCCCTGACAGCAAAAACAGAACAAAATATGGAGACATAAAACCTTCCCAGCTCAACACTTGTGAACATTATTTCAGGAGGAGCAGGAACTGCTTCTCTCTTCCAAACCTTGCTCTTGGAAATGTCTGAACCTTTCAGACGTTCAGCCAGAGGCAGGTGTCGGTCACAGATCACTTCAGCCAGAACGAGCACGTAGCGCGGGAGCAAGCAGGGACTTACTGGGTAAATGGCAGCGTGCGGCTGAGCATAGGCAAGACTGCTCGCTCTGCCTCTTTCTGCTTCCAAGAGATGGCTACGTGATGAATTACAGTGTTTGAATATTTGGAAAAAAATGGAAAAATCCAGAATTCTGTCTTTTACTATCTCATACAAGAGATGAATTAAAATCACATTAGTGTAGGTAAGGTATTTATTGTATTGTATTTGAGATAACTATGCAAAGAACTACATTAGTTCTCAGAAAGTGCTGAAATGGCTATGTGATACACTTTCTCCAGTAGTTTTTGATACGATGTTCTGAATTCACATTAATGAGCCAGAAATTACATATCATATAGACACACATGAGATTTAAAAACTAACCGGCTGTGGAGTTCCAAATATTTGATTCCTTATACTGAAAAAAAAGCGTAAAAACCTAAATGAAAACATTGTCAAACATGGCTTGAAGGAGAAACTGCACCTGAAAAAATAACATGCTAAACCTCTATTTTTTAAATTAGCCTTTAGCTCTAGTACTATACTACTAGTCTTGAAAAGCTATATGATTTCACATAGAAGACGAGGTCAACGCTGTTCTTTTGAAGAGGACTACTGTGATAAAATTAGCACTTGAAACTTTATTTTCATTTGATTAATAATTATGAGGAATATACAACACACTAATTAAGCACTCACCTGTTAAGCTACCAAGTGTAAGTTTCCGGCGACCCATTCTTTCAACGAGCCAGACTCCCACGAGGGTAAAAATGAAGTTTATAAACGCCGTCAGTGCAGCCAGCCAGATTGCAAGCCTGTCGTCTTCAACTCCTGACATCTGCAAAATGGTAGCACTGTAGTACCTGCGAGTGGAGGGAGAAACAAATACGAACACCACTGATTTCAATTTGGCTCATGTTATAGTTTCTGATTTTAAATCGAAAAAGATCATAAATATCAACTGTGATCTTCTGCATAATGCAGCTGCAAACTGACACCCAATTACCCTGGGAAATTAGGCATAACCAAGGCATAACTTGCGCTTGACTAAAGTTTTGACTGGAATACATCAAGAGAGGAATTGCTGTTCCCTTGGCTGTTTGTATTTTCAATGGTCAATCATACTCTGCTAGAAATGGGGTTTGCATTTTTAATTTAAATAAATCCGGCTTTCACATCCAGCTGTTGCTTTATGCTCTATCTTTTTTCTGCCAAAACATGCAGGATTTTAGCACTCTGTACTGTCTAGGGAAAGATAGCTCAAAAATCAAATACGTTTTCACTCTTCCTAAAGGTCATACAGAACTAATCTATGGCATCCAACACGTTGCAAGCGACACTTACAACCCCCTGGTTTTAGGTTTTGCAGTTTTATTTCACTGCCACTGAAGCGCCTGAAACCATCTTTATCATATTACTTTTGTCTTAGCCAGAATACAATTGCTTTGAAATGCCTCAGCACCACGTTGCACGGATGTGAATTGACACCCAACAGGAGCGTTTGACAGAAGTTTCCACTTCTCTCTACAATGAATCAACCATTCCACACAAACAGTAACTCATAAATAAATCAACTGAGCAAAATGAAAAGGGAAAAAAAGGAAGCCTTCTACCATTTTTCACAGAGATCAAATGAACACAGATATTGTGCCTATGTTCTCAGGGAGAGCTAAATAAACCTTCAAGAAAACATGAGTAGTTTTGTTCATGCTGCAGAAGCAATTTTCGTCTTGTTCTATTAATTTGTGCTGACTGAAATACTGAATATTCAAGCCCTCACATACCTAGAAGCCTATAGGCTTTCACACAGTAATAACCATCAAAAATGTCAAAGCTCACTTGTTTTTTTTCTGGTCAAAATGCAGCTTGCTTTAAATGTCCCCTTGTTGTCTTAATGCCCAGATACGTTATCCTTAGAAATTTTAGTGGTCCACATTTTTCTGTTCTAAGCATAAACCACTTTTTATTTCAAATCAATAATCCATGATTGACAATATGCTCAACTGACCACTTGCAAAAGTGCTTGAGCTAAGACACTACCAGCCATAAACAATTGCACCTATGGCTGGATGTTACTGCTTCGCTCCTTGGCTAAGACAAGGTATTTAGATCCTCCCAGCCCCCTTCCTCAGCTCCTGTTCCCCACCAGTGCAGCCATCTGAGGCCATGCCTACACAACCAACTCGTGGTGCAGCTGGAGAGGACCTCCAGAGTGAAACTGCCGGGACTGAGGAGCCAGTATCTACATACACATGGGTTTGGAGCCTGGCTCCATGGCCTGCCTGCCCGTTAGCGACTGCAATGCCTCATCCAGGCTCATTTTGTCTGAAAGAGCTGCACACCTTGAGATCCTGGCAAGGGTGCGAATCATGGAGAGATGAAGATTCATGAAGGATAGACATCATCTGAATTAAAATGCTAATGTTAATGCATCCTCACTTCTTAAGGCTCTCTAAATTAAATTGCTAACTGCCTGTCAAAACTTACACCATACTGCACTGTTTTAGTCACCAAAACCATCCAAACAGTCTCTGATCTCCCAATACACCTTTCTTTTTCTTCTTAAGGGTAGGAAAATAATAATAAATGTCAAGTCTTGGCCCACTGACACCTACTATGAAACTCTTATTTACCTCCACCAGACAAGGCTTCAGGAAGCCACATTTAACTCCACACATCTAAATCTTCTCAAAATCCAGTTCTACTGGGAACTCAGAAATTGCCAGTTGTCAGCAGCAATGTATAGCGTACTGATTCCATATGGTTAAAAAAGCAAAGAATAAAGAATCACATAAAAGCACGTAGATGTCTACTGCCTGATATACACAAACAGGCACCTTCTGCCCCTGACATTCCTTCTGGTTGCTTATTGCACTCACTGGTTATATATTCTCAACTAGAAGCTTACTGTTTATCCATAAATAAACAACATATTTCATTTCTATGGAAAACAAACCAGGAAATTTACATTCTGCAAATCCAAATGCCAAGCTACCAACGCCTGGGTGCTGGGCAATGACGTTCATGTTTATTGTGGCACAGCAATCTAATTTCAAAAATTTAAAAGAACACTTGCACAGGTCATGATAACTGCTAAATATATTTGCTTGTGCTCACCTATTTTAGTACGCCCATTTTTTATACCAACCTGTGCAGCCCTAACTGCCTATTAAGGTAACAAGATGACAGGTCTTTTTAATTTCTTCCTGACAAGGAAAAAAACTATGCAGCAGAAAAAGGTCAAGTTGTGATATTATACAACCACAGTGAATACTGCAGCTCCTGCAGGGAATGCAATTTCAGTGACAGTGTTGTGCAGTCCTAGCTTATTTTCTAAAATGTAAAGAAAATGACAAAAGCACATGCGTATCTTTGGAATTTTCAAGCAAGTACTGTATGTTAGAAAGCAAGTAAATACAGATAATTACAAAGCCACACAAAGTAACTGAGTTGGATATATACAGAAAGATTTTAATATTGATAATTTCTGAGGATGTCAAAATTATGAAGTTGTTCTATCAAGAGTTGCTATCCATTAAAAAAACCTGAAACATTTCCACATTCAAGAATCCTCAGACTAATCCTTTGACCATATACTGAAAATGCACAGTATTGGAAGAAAGGAAGCACCCCCAAACACTTTCCTCCCTCTTCTTCTTTAAAGAGTCAGTATTTTTTAAAAGCAATGACATCCGACGTTTAAAGAAAAGGAGAACTTCCTCCCTTCAAGCAGGTCTTACAGACAATTCCAGAGGCATCAGGGTTCCCAGGTTAGCTCACTCAGCAGCAGAGAAGCAGCCCACCATACTGGGCTTTGTAGCTCTCAATCAAAAGAAAAAAAAATGGCTGTTGATAAGCTGCCATCACAGCTTTGATTGCCCCCATCCTTCACAAGGGGTTGCTCCGACCCACCTGTTATACCAAGTCTACTCCAACAAAGTTTCTGTCTAAGGATGTCAGCCTTTTTGGACAGAATTTGTAATTCTTCTAAAATTAATGAATAAATCTAAGTAACTCAGAAGTGCCTTTCAACATCTGGAAAACATTTACATTTTTGCTTTTAAGAAAACAAAAATAGAGTACTCTGGCACTGCTTTGCAAGAGTTTGTTGACATGATTCTATGTTCTAGCACGATACTTTGGAAATCACTGTCCAACTACTGAAACTACTCAGTCCAAGAAAATCAGTCCCTCGAGATAATGAAACCCTCTATCTTTTTTCCTCAACTCAACTGAAATAATGCAATGTAAAATGGCAAGTAGTGCAATAGCCAAGAAGCAAATGATTAAATATTGAAGAAAATCCAAAATGGTGGCAATTTCAACAGATTTACATGCTTTTTCTGCAACTGTGCATGAATGAAGATCCTCTCCTCTATCAGTTTATTACATGTTACAATTATTGCACTAAGACAGACAAAAGTATTCATAACAAAACATGCTCCACATTCACCGAATTGCATTTCATTTACACCTTCAACCTGTTTCTCTGCTTCTTCAGGGATTACTAAAGCTTATTCCCATCAAGTTTGATGATTCCATCATGAGCGCTGCATTAGATGTGTCCAGGCTGGGCCAGGTGTGCAGCGTTACCTGGACAAGGTACCGAGGGCTCTGCAGCTTCCCCAGCCCCATGCAGGAGGGCTACTGCACCGAGGGAAGCCCGGTCATAACCTCCTCCTGCCTAAAGTCCCAACTAGAATGACTCGTGCTGCCAAGCATAAGACAAAGCGTAGTTATTTTAAAAACAGCAATATATTACAGCCTATATACACATGGAATACAGAGTCTTGTCCCCCAGCTGACTTTTGAAGTGGTGAAAGGCTCAGGTGAGAAGCAGCAAGTCCACGTTTTCAGGTACAGACACTTGCAGGCTGGCCATGGTGCCATCTATCAAGCCAGGCAGCTGCATTAGTATGAGACTATGCCAATGCCAACCGGGAAGCTGGACCATTTAGACAGACACCATCCTGTAAAAATATCTGAGGGACTAATGCTAATTCGAATTTCACATTGATGCAAACAAAAGTGTCCCACTCAACTTACAAGTCTTTTGCAAACTATCCCACATCCGTGTAAATACAGTTATAATGTTCTCCAAGATAGCTTGTTGTTCTGACAAATGCTTTGAATACATACATTATGACAACAATGAGGAAAACAGATTAAGCCATCCTTCACATTTCACCTTTAGGTGATAAAAGATCATGGTGCTTTCACATCTTGCTAACCTGAACGGCAACAGCCCAACAAATGGCATTGCCATGGTGTGCAACACAGAACCTCTGCAGCCAATCAACGCTTGGCGGTGGCTGGCTTAGCTTGCTGCGTCCCACATGAATCACAGAATCATAGAATCACAGAATGCTTTGGGTTGGAAGGGACCTTTAGAGGTCACCCAGCCCAACCCCCCTGCAGTGAGCAGGGACAGCTTTAACCACATCAGGTTGCTCAGAGCCCCATCCAACCTGACCTGGGATGTTGCCAGGGATGGGGCCTCTACCACCTCTCTGGGCAACCTGTTCCGGTGCTTCACCACCCTCATTGTAAAAAATTTCTTTCTTATGTCTAGTCTAAATCTATTCTTCTTTAGTTTAAATCCGTTATTCCTTGTTCTGTCACAACAGGCCTTGCTAAAATGATTGTCCCCATCTTTCATATAGGCCCCCTTGAAGTACTGGGAGGTCGCAATAACATCTCCTCGCAGCCTTCTCTTCTCCAGGCTGAACAACCCCAACTCTCTCAGCCTGGCCTCATAGGAGAGGTGCTCCAGCCCTCGGATCATTTTGGTGGCCCTCTTCTGGACCCCCTCCAGCAGGTCCATGTCCTTCTTGTGCTGCAGGAGGAGGGGTTGGGGAAAGAC